CGATGCTTCCTACGTGAAATCCAACAAGTTCTCTTACGCCGTTGTCGTGGTAGGTGAACCACCGTACTCAGAGACATTTGGTGACAGCCTAAACTTGACGCTTCCCGATCCAGCCCCAACTGTCATTACGAATGCCTGTGCGTATGTGAAATGTGTTGTCGTCCTCATTACTGGACGTCCAATCGTGATTCAACCATATGTTGCTCAAATTGATGCACTTGTAGCTGCTTGGCTTCCGGGTACAGAAGGACAAGGTGTTGCTGATGTTTTGTTTGGAGACTATGGTTTTACGGGCAAACTTCCTCATACATGGTTTAAGACTGTCGATCAGCTTCCAATGAATGTTGGGGACAAACATTATGATCCATTGTATCCATTTGGTTATGGACTCACTACAAAACCTGTAAAAGACAACTGATCTGGGATGGTGGGTTCAGGCAATGCTTATGTAACTCGAAGTGTATGCTTGATTAAAGTATTGAACAGTCGGGTATCTAAATACAAAGCTGAATCCTGAATGGGAATTGAAATCTGTTAAATTCCGCTGTGCATGTTTAAATCAATTCCCAACAGCACTTGTAGCTGCTTGGCTTCCGGGTACAGAAGGACAAGGTGTTGCTGATGTTTTGTTTGGAGACTATGGTTTTACGGGCAAACTTCCTCATACATGGTTTAAGACTGTCGATCAGCTTCCAATGAATATTGGGGACAAACATTATGATCCATTGTATCCATTTGGTTATGGACTCACTACAAAACCTGTAAAAGACAACTGATCCGGGATGGTGGGTTCGGGCGACGCTTATGTAACTCGAAGTGTATACTTGATTAAAGTATTGAACAGTCGGAACAGTATAATAAATGAGATTTTAACTTATTGATTTTGTTGATGATAAATTCTTAAATCTTGCACTGACTAATAAGCTTGGCTTCAATTATCTTCGAAACATAAAAATTTAATCAAATGTTTGAATTTAAAATTTGTTAATTATTCTATTAGATTAATACGACGTAGTAGTTCAAGTGATGCGAGGGTGGTTTGGAAACATAATAGAATATTTTAATAATCATGACAGCCATCCAACTCAAGTGGTGAGTGCATACATGCCTTCCGTGTTGGGCCCACATCCAACCTGTTAATTTATTTATTTTTGTGTGGAATTATAAATGATTATAAGCTATTTAGTTGGGACCATGTAAAATTATAAATCATGATAAGCAATTAAGGTAACGAGAGATGTTTTTGTTTTTGCATTTGCTTTTTAGAAAAGAGTTTCTTGAATAAATTACATCATTTGCATTTAAAAACTATGTTCTAAAAGAGTATTCTTTTTTAAAATGTTTTTATAGGAATAATCTCCGACCAACTTTCTTTAAAAGCTCTTCTAAACAAATACTTTTGTAAAATTAATTAAACGAATTCAAAAGTAATTTTTAAGTCTTAAAATTTCTTTTGACTTCTGAAAAATTATGTCAAGGAAGTCCTAAATTATGAACTGATAGTCATAGATAAATGGATGATGTTACACGTATATCAAAATGTTTATATTGGCGAAATGGGCTCCGACCATGTGAGGGATTGGACACTGATATAAAGTCATCATATTAGTATCAATAGCATATTTCTAGATAAATACTGGAAGGTTTTGACAAAAAAATAAAAATAATAATAACCTCCTTTCTGTGTTCTGCTTTTCCTACAGGAAAACACCAATTCTCTCTCCACACTTTTTCTTTTACAAAACACAAACACCCAAAAAATAAAAAATATATATCTATATATATATAGAAACAGATAAAGGGGAAGGAGTAGAGAGACAGGAAAATCAAAACACTTTGTCACAGATTTCGCACTCTCCATCTTCTTCAATTGCTCCAATATGAACGACCTTTTAACGGTAATTTTTGCGTTTCCTAATTAATTAATTTTAGTTATGAGTTTTTGTTGCTGTTTATTTAGTTGTTGATGAAAATGTTGAAAAGGGTTTTTTTCTATTTCAATTTCTTTGGAGTCCAGACAATGTAATAAGAGATCGAAGCTTTAGCAGCTGAAAATATACGCAAGTTTTGTTCTTTATTAGTGTTGTGTGTGTTTGGGCGAGTTTTTTGTGTTATTATTTCCAGAAAATGACACGAGATCATCAGATGTTTAGTTTTAATTTGGGACATTTAACCATTTTGGCCATTTTATCTATAATTAAGTTTCTGATATTGTTAATGCAATTACATACACAAACCTATGTATCTATAAACAAAAGAAGGTGGTTGGAGGGGGAGGAGAATTGATATTTGAAGTAATGAACTTGATCTTTCCTTGATTCGCAAGACATAAAGGTGCAATATTTTGATTCAATTTTAAGTTAAAAACTTGTTGTCATGCTGATTTTAGCCAAAAAGGGCTGATAGGAAATGTAGATTGGCTTTCCAATTAACATTACGATCTGCTTAAGATGTTTGATATGGGTTCCACGATGCTGAACTTCTTTCTTTAATTTTGGCTTCTACTTTGCTCTGTTAAGTTTTACCTTCTAGTTTATACTGATATATAATTTTAGCTCCTTTAAGTTTTGCTAGTTCATCAGGGAATGCACTAAAATTTTAGGCAAAAAAATTTCTATTTGTTAGAATTTCTTTTGTATTTTATCCACCAGAATATATTAGCCCTCAGTTTGACCTCAAATTGTGAAAATGCAACATATGCATGTAAAATATCATGTTTGGTGAAAGATTAGAAGTGAAGAGATTATGTGGTCTTCGTCTTGCTTTAATCACAAAGTCCAAATGAAAATGAAGAGAAAAGGAATAAAAATTCTGTGAATATTACCTCTAAAAGCACATTCATACAAAATTAATAAATAACCTTTCAAATATATTATTAATGCTAGTTGAGCTTGAAGTAAATGCATCATATCTTGGAACTTTACTAAAACACAAAAAAGCAACACAATTTCTCGTGACAGGCCTGACTGTTAAAGCTTCCCATCTCAAAATGTTGAAATTACGAGATGATCGACATAAAACCATCTGTTCTATGTAGAAAACAAAGTCAATCTATTCTAGAACTCTATTTGGTCATTACACATTCTCGAGGTTGATAGAATGACAGAAAAAGATTCATCTAACCAAGTCCAAATTTATTAGGAATAATGCTTTGTTTATTCGTGGCATTTTTTGAAACAAAAAGAAACGTTGAAACATCTTGTGCTATTTGTACTGACACTAGCTTTTTATTTGATGAATGTTGGAACTTGATAAAGGTTGAATACATGCCTTATTCCTCATTCATGTCTTTGTAACCTGCATATATTGCATTTGTGTGGCCCAAGTTATTCGTTTGTTACTTATTTAACTATTTGAAAAGGCTGAAATAGAAGCTTTTTCCCATGCATATTAGTTAATATGGAAAACACTCCGACATTAGGGGGCCTTAGTTATTTCCTTATACTTTATGTGCATTTTGCAGGATTCGTTCGAGGTACCGCGGGATCAAGCTTCTAGGAATGGAGATATTGAAATGGGAACACAACTCGCACAAAATTCAGGAGATTTAGGCTTGGACAACTTCTTTAAGCAGGTTCTGTGGCCTGTAGACTAGTTTGCTCTTATTCTCTTGTTTTTCCCAATTAAACTTGACTTTTACCAATATAGTTACAAGAGCAAGTAGGTAAATTTTTATTTTGTTTTTGTTGTAGTTTTAATTTGCCATTTCCTTTTTTGTTGCTAGGTTCAAGAGATTGAGAAAAATTATGAAAAACTCGATAAGCTACTGAAAAAGCTTCAGGTATGAGTTTCTCTCTTCTTTCTGCTTCTGAAATCTTTCTTTCCTTCTATTTTTCTTGTGAATTTATCTCTCATTTACTAGAATGCCTGTGCATGTCCATATTTTATCTTCCCCTGAGTGTGAAAATAAATTCGGTCTTGTTTCCATTTCTCGCCTTGCGAGTTTAAATGCCTAAACCCCATTGATATAGTCCGTGAGAAAAGCAGACATTTTCCATGGTTGCATGTAAATGGAAAATGGTTGCGAACTACTATCGTATTACTGAGGATTCAAGTTTTGTACATGGAAACTATGAGTCACAGTATTTGAGTTTTCTGGTGTGACATTCTTATCAGTGCCGTGGCAGCTGAATAATTTGGGAACTTTATGACCTCTTAGCTTTACTTCCCCTTTGCTTAAGCTGTTGGTATATTAGGTCACCTACATGCTCAATGATATGGTGTCTCCACTATTTTGGGCATTCTATGCATGAGTCCTTTTCTTTTTCTCATCATTGAAGCTTCCTTTGATTTCATTTATTATATGAAATCTGTTGTTAGAGTTGCATTTCCTCTATAGAAGATTTTACACATGCAGATGATTGCATTTTAAAATTTTCAAAGACTTTTTTATCACTTGCATTTCCTCTATAGAAGTAGATTTTACACATTATAATTTTCAAGTCCTTTTTTTAAGTGATGAAAAAGCAATATTTTACTTATATACCAGAGTAGTACATAAAATTGACCTTTTGGGATGAAACATTATCTGCTTCCTCAATTCCCTTAAGACAATTTTGCAACTCTCTTTCTTAGATAAGTAAAGATAACTTATTGACTGACAAATACATGATGCTTCCCTGTATGCCCTTCGATGTACAAAGAATTGTATATATGCACATGATATTGCTCTTTTGATAGCTATACATGGTTTGTTTAATTAAATCATCAGAAGGTCAGCTTATACATCATGACTCAAAACGACATCAGGGGATGGTAAAAATGTTTTGTGCTATAACTTATAATTTGTGGTGCCTTTTGCTAATGTTCTTTGCAGGATGCTCATGAGGAATGCAAGGCCATAACCAAGGCTGCTGCTATGAAAGGTAATATATTACCACTTGATTACGTGTTCAATAGGTGTTGCATCAATTCGTTTTCTCGATATTATAAAACTTCAATCTTGCCAAAATAGGCATGGCTGGTGCAAAAAAAATTTCATCATTCATAAAGTGACATTATTTTTATGGTCAATTAAGAGGGTATTTGGTGGGGATTAAAATTAAATGTTTTAGTAAATTGTGATAGAGGTTTTTGAAATGTGTGGTTGGAAAGTTGTGGGGGACTCATAAAAGATATGGTTAATATTGATTGTTTGATTTTGACTTGGATTGAAATCAGATTTTAATCAAACCAAACAGCCTCTAAAACTAAATACCAACGTTAAGTCACATAAAGAAATAGTGGTATTTTGTCGGTAACTTTTGGATTCTACTTCATTTATTTATATTCTCTTTTTAATTTCTGATTTGGTTTGTTACTGTCACTTCCCTTATTTTAAATTCTAATGCTCATATTCATGGTGATAATGAATTGCATATTGTTTTCTAGTGGAGGACTTTGTGTCATTATACTTGGATATGGTGAGAATACATATATCTGTTTTCTTGCCATTTTCTTTAAATTGACTTCTCACTGGTTAAAACTTGTTTATAATCAATGTAAATCTGCAGCAATCAAGAAACGAATGGAGAAGGATGTTGATGAAGTTGGAAAAATTGCCCGCCTAATTAAATCAAAAATTGAGGAACTTGACAGAGAGGTGAGGAAAATATAGATCACATTATTAACTTTCATTTGTCAAGACATGTTTAGTAGTGACATCTTTTATTTTTTCCTTGTCTTTACAGAATTTAGCCAATAGACAAAAGCCTGGATGTGGAAAAGGATCGGGCGTTGACAGATCAAGAACAGCAACTACAGTGTAATTTAGACTCCAATTCTCATGCCTGATTATGTTACTCTATAAATGTTTGTGTTACATGGAAGACATTAAAATGCAATAGCTTTTAATGGGCTTGAAATTTTGTGAATTTGATTTATCTGCATCAAAAGCGGGAGCAGAGTTACCCCCCATTGTGGCTGTAAAGAGATCGGATATGGATCAGATCTACCAAAATCTGATCAGATCGGATCAGTAAGAATAATTATTCGATCCGATCCTATTCGATAATGCAACGGATATTTGATTGTTAAATTCATATTCGATTTGCTATGTTATCAGATATTCAATCCGAAATTGAAAAAATTAGAAAGATAAAAATTTAATACAAGTCAACTTTTAAGCCCTAGAATTAAAAGGCCCTTTTGGCCTACCAATTTATAGGTTGCAAATTTTATGATATTTTAGTGAGTATTCGATATGAAAAGTGAGAAGTTGGGAATACTGAAACAAACTTTAATTGTTGGCTCCTTTGGTTGTTAATTTATGAAATAAATTATTTTTTATCTTATTTTAATTAAAAATAAATAAAAACTATTTAAATATTTCAATTAGCAATATTATACTATTATCTAATACTATTTATTAGTTGAAAATTATGTGTAAAATATAATACAAGCTTCAAAATGAAAAAAATTATGTGATAATATGTAAAATATGTTATATTATTTTAACAATTCGGATTGGGTTATTATCGGATTGAATTGACCTATATCCATATTTGCTTCATTTAGTTATCGGATTCGGATTTTGATTGAGTTATCGGATTGAGATCCTAAATTCATCTCCCAATAATTTCATCGAATTCGGATTGGTTTCGAATCAAAATTCAAACCATTAATAGCCCTACTCCCCACATGATTGGTAGGCACGTGGACAATATCTTTTGATAACTAATAAGCCAAAACTTTTATCAAGGAAAAAAACAATAACAAAACTAGAGGACAAGGGGACCTCATAGACATTGATTAAATAAATTAAAGACTAAGAAACTATTCTCTACGTTCTCTTTGCACATACTTGAATTTTAGCCCATGATGACATCAATGAAACAGCCCTTCTTACAAGCATAGAGCCTCAAGAAAATGGTCCTTGCAATTCGATCATTCTTCCATTTTCAAATTGACCAAATATCAGCAATTAGTTCCATTCAAAATTTAAGCATGGTTTTTAGGCTTGTGGGAATTGTCAAAAAGCTCTGTAGAATTAAGCCATCAATAAAATTCGACTCCAACCCTACACGTACATGTTTACAGTTCATTTACCTTTCTCCTAGCACATAGTTTTAAGTTCTCATTCAATTTTTCTTTAGTGGAGGTTAAATCCGATAATATGTAAATTGAAGAAAGGCTCATGGATTAGTTATTTATTAACTGGATATACTGCCTTTATGTCCATCCTCATCATCATTTTTGTTGCTTTCACAGCTTTTTGATCGAAGATCAATATCAGGAATATTTGTGTAAACTGTTTAATTACACTGCTAAGGCCCATTATGTTTAATCAAATAATCCTGGCAATGAACAGAATTTATTTGAATAACTTTCAGGATTCATATGATTATCTGGCTTAGTGAAGCTCATTGTCATAGAGTCCAGATTATCCTCAGTTCCTTGAACGTTGTAGTTCAAGCTTTCAGAAATGTTAATTGATTAAATCCTGATTGAGTGCATATCTTTGGTAGATATATCTAATGATGATTTAAATAAAAGTCTTCTAAATAATTATACTTGACTCCACTACAGTGCCATGAAGAAGAAGTTCAAAGACAAGATGTCTGAATTTCAGGTAGGTCAGATACACAATATGAAAAGGTTTCATTTTCTTACTTCTTCTCTTCTGTTTCTCATATCTGTTAATGAATACTTTTGCAGACTTTAAGAGAAAGCATCCATCAAGAGTATCGTGAAGTAGTCGAGAGGCGTGTATTCACAGGTCTTTACCCTCCTCTTGTTATGAAAAATTTCTGCAACCTTTTGCAATAACTTTCTTATATCTTGACAAAATGTGATGGTTTCTTGTTTCATGGGATCATCAGTGACGGGAAATCGAGCCGATGAAGAGGTAAAATTTGTTTTGTTTATCTTTCCATTTTTTTTAATGTGTAAGATTTACCAAGTATTCAATTCTACTTCCACAGACAATTGATAAATTAATAGAGACTGGGGATAGCGAACAGATTTTCCAAAAAGCAATTCAAGAGCAAGGGCGAGGCCAGGTTAGCTCTATTTTCTACCTTTTCCTTTATTTTTTCCTCTATCCCCTTTCGTCTTTGCTTTATTTGTTGTTTTTGCGTGCAGATAATGGACACGCTTGCAGAAATTCAAGAGCGTCATGATGCTGTTAGAGATTTAGAGAAGAAGCTTCTTGACTTGCAACAGGTATTATGGTTTATTTGTTGGCAATGATAATAAGACTAAAATCCCTCTCAACCAAATTGCTGCCGGCCATTAAGAATGGAATCCCTCTCAACCAAATTGCTGCCGGCCATTAAGAATGGATCATTCGTCTTCTTCGAGTCCCTACATGGGCTTGCTGACATCAAATTATTCAAGTCCTATTAATTTTTGTTTTCTTCTGTGCACGTGTTGGTTTTTAATCTCTTCTTGGTCTCCTTGTGTTTTTGCTTATATTATTGCATATTCATCCTATCTCTATTAGGCTGTATTATGTTTTGACTCAAATTCTGCTAGCTCTAGGCCAAGGAAACTGTTTCTTTTCCATCTTGCTAGTACCATCCATGGCCGGAGCTAGGATTGGGATTGAGTGGGGACTGGACTTGACTATAGAAATGTTTTTCAAACAAGTCGGTGATAATATAATATTAAGCACTGTATAATTTTCACAATTGTACCCTTTTCAATGGAATTTCATCCTGAACATTAACGTTATAATCGTTAACATTATAATCTATAATTGGGGTTTTCTACACTCATCTTTCACCCCTGGCACAACAAGCTTCAGTCGAAAGGGAAAATTGCAGCAGCGGTCTCTAACATTTTTGTTTTTTGTAGACTTTACCCTAACTTTCATTTTATGTCAGTGAAGGTCCCTAACCTTTCATAAATATACACTCGAGATCTATCTGGATAGAAACCGTCCTAAATGTCATCGGTTGATCGGGAAAATTTCTTGAACTATCTGCTATCGCGATGGTTTTATTAGATGTTAATTCCTTAATTTTCCTGATCAACTGACGGTGTTTGGGACGATTTTCGTTCACATGGATCTCGGGTGCATATTTATGAAAGGCTAGGAACTTTCACTGATACAAAATGAAGGTTAGGGTAAAGTCTGTACAAAATAAAAAGGTTAGGGACCGGTGCTGTAATTTTCCCCGGTCGAAATACTTACATTTTGAGCGTTTGAATATAAATACAAACAGATAGTGCACAAAATTATGGAATGGAGGAATCATGACCAGGAGACCTGATTACAATGAGACAAAATATACTGTAACAGCAATTAGAAAAGTGGGAAAACAAAGGTCTGTAGTTTTAAGCCGGATATCGTAGTCTCTGATGCTAAGGATGAGAATCTAGCTTGTTTGAAAGATTTTGATAGCATGAAGTTTCAACTCAAAAGGAGATTTTTTTTTTTCATTTTTTTCTTTTTTTAAAGGGAAAAATTCCGAAATGCAGTGGGGTCAATTGCTCCCTCTGGACCCGCTCCTCCCTCTGCCCCCGATATCATCATTACTGTGGTTTGAAACCTTTTCATAAGCAAGGCAACAGCTGCTAGGCAGTTTTGACATGCTAACTAGTTAGCTTTGTGAAATGAATTATGTATTCATAGCTAGCTGTTTTTAGTTAACTACGAGTTTAAAAGGTGAAAATCGGTAAAATATTGAATTTGAAGTTATGCTTAACTGACGTGAAGATGCTGATGAATTTCAGTTCGTCAGATTCCATTTTTCTTTTCTACTTGCAATTTTTCTGTCGAAGCTGGTTAGTGATCTTGGTTGGACTGAAAGATTTCATGCACGGACCGATATCAGATCCCTTCTTTTCACCCCTTTTCTTTTTCCTACATCGGTAGTTCCTTTTTAGGATTTTGAGAGATGATTTGCTGTTTCCGGCAAAAATTTAAATCTGCTTGTGACTTTCACTAATCTAGACCACCTAAGAGTGATGAGATGAGTCTAAGCCCAACGTGACTGTTGGCCTGCCATCATTTGTTTTGCATTAACTGTATTACGAAAACACATTGAGATCAATTTAAACAATTCTAAAAGGCTGTTTAATTCATCAATGGATTAACGTCCGTGCAGATATTCATGGACATGGCAGTATTGGTGGATGCTCAAGGAGACATGCTCAACAATATTGAATCACAGGTAAAGAAAACGCGAACTCTCCATGCTGCCTTGTCCGATATGATGAAGCATACAAAGGAATTCTGTATATAATCAGACTGATCTCCACTACCCTACTTTCTCAGGTTTCGTCTGCTGTTGACCATGTGCATTCCGGGAATACCGCACTTCAGAAAGCAAAAAGGTTACAGAAAAACTCGAGGAAATGGATGTGCATTGCTATTGTCATTCTCCTTATTATCGTCGCAATAATCGTTGTGGGCGTGCTCAAGCCATGGCAGAACAATAATGGTGCTTAGCTATTCACCACAATTTATTGTATAAACAGAAAAATGATGCTAAATGGAATTGTTTTCCTACTTACACTCCATTATAGCTATTTCTTTTATTCTTGCAGTCAATACTTTTGGATTTGTGTGTGCGCGCCCAGTAAAGTTTATATACAAGTTTACTATTTGCAAGTGTAACGTTATATCTTCAAAAATATGCTCATTGTTTGCTTTAATTTTTTACCTTGGAGGAACGAAACTATGTTTCTGAACTCGGACTCATTTTCAATATTTTGAAGCAGGATATTTTATGTGAATGTCATGTGACGATTTAATGGAGATATGGACAGTTTTTGCCAGTGAAAATTAATAAATATTGATTTTGTAGCTACAATAAAAGGTTGATGATGACTTTTTAGGTGATAGGTAGGCCTGTTAGATAGTGATTATGAGAATTAATTTTTTTACCATTACAGAGAAAAAGTAGATCTCACTTGTAAGTGAAGAAGTAAAAAATGATGGTTGGAATGGTAAAATAACGGTCAAAAAATTGATATTTTGAGGTGAAAAAGTGATATCAAACGGGGTTAGAGACTAGCAACGCAATTTTTGCTATCAAGAAGGGAACATGTTAGAGCTAGTCGGGTAGGTCGTGACAAAATTGGACAAAGACGATTTAATGTTAGAAAATAAGTTATTGAATGAAGAATAAAATAGTTTCAATATTTATGACTTGAGTCCATCTACCAAAAAGATAAAGACGAAAATGTTTGGCTTCAAGTTGTGACAATGTGAGCATGTTTGGCTTAGCTTATCAGCTTCTTTTGACACAAACTATATGTTTCGGCGTGCTTAAAAGCGCCTCCTAAAACCCACCTTACTATCATGCGCTTGAACATATTTTGATAACTTAATTTACTTTAAAAATTTTGAGTAAAACTTTTACTTAATCTCAAATTTCAACAATAAAAATATTATCGCGAGTTTTCACTTCTATTAAAAAGAAAGATTATCTATGTTTGTTCGTCATTTTGTGTGTCTTCACCTCCCCCATAGCCTTAATAGAGAATTTATCCTAACCAATGATTCAATTTCAATGGGAAAGGTTTTCGAATTTCTTAATGTGAGTAAGAATTTATTCTCCTTTTCTCTTTGTATCTCAATTATGGGTCCTTTTTTCTCGATATTAGTTTATTTAATTTTAAAATTTTTGATAAAATTATATGCAGGCTTCATTTTTAGGCTTCGTTTTCAGTATATTTTTTTTTGATGGGTAAAACCACTTTACCAAAAAGATGTTAATAAATGTCTTGACATAATTGGTGTTGACAAGATATGATTGGATGATAAAATTGTCAATATTTTAAATAATCTAATAATAGAATGTCATGCAATATTATGTCAGAGATTATGTATCACCATTTTCTAGGGATGCCAAGAAAAAGTGGCATGCTATTTATTTTTTTAAAAACTTT